CTATGCTTAGGATTGGGTCTTGTCCATCACATCATTCTCCTAATGATGTGATCTCGTTATCAATGACATCCAATGTCCATACTCAGGAAACCATGACTATTTGTTGATCAACGAGCTAGTCAACTAGAGGCTCACTAGGGACATGTTATGGTCTATGTATTCGCACATGTATTATGATTTCCGGATAACACAATTATAGCATGAATAATAGGCAACTATCATGAACAAGGAAATATAATAATAATCATTTTATTATTGCCTCTAGGGCATATTTCCAACAGTATTTTTGGTTGTGCAAAGCCAGATTTACCACGAGTCTGCATGCGATGGTTGTTCGCAGGAGGCGTGATGGGGATGGCACGAGGTGGAAGCGGCGGGACAGGTGGCGCGCGTGGGATGGGTGCATGGGAACCATCAGGGGAATCTGGTGGATGGGACATGGAAGGAGACGCGCGGTGGGACCCGGGGACGGGGTCAGGTTGCGGCGTGGGCGGGCTGGTGGGACGGGTTGCATGGGCCCAGGGGCGTGGCGCACATGGTGTGGGCGGGGGCGTGTGATCTACCGGTGTGGGTGACGCATGCGGCGGTGATTGGCTGGCAGGGGGTTGGTGGTTGGCCAGCGAGAGGGATCACGGGAGCTGTGGCTGGCGCGGATCCCGCGGAAGACACCGGATGGGACCGATACGAGGTACGCGGCTTGGGGTGGATAAGGACGCCAGGATTTTCTGTGGCAACAGAAGGAGGGGGAGGCCATGGGGAGGCGGTAGGAAGATAGGGAAAACTGGTTTTGTCGAACGTAACGTGACGACTGATGATTATTTTGCGGGTGGTCAGGTCCAGACACCGGTAGCCTTTGTGCTCGAGCGGGTAGCCGAGGAAGACACAGCGGGTAGACCGTGGGGCAAGTTTGTGTGGGCTGGTGGTAATGTTGTTGGGAAAGCATAAGCATCCAAAGACACGCATGTGATTATACGTTGGATGGTGACCGAGCAGGAGGAACTGAGGAGTGGAGTAGTTGATGGCCAAGGAGGGATGCTGGTTGAGGATGTAAGTAGAGGTGTGGAGAGCTTCGACCCAAAACAGGGGCGGGAGGTGCGCGTGGATGAGAAGCACACGAAGGATGTCGTTGGTGGTTCGTATGAGTCGCTCCGCCTTCCCGTTTTTTTTGTGGCGAGGTGTGAGGACACGAGAGACGGAAGGAGGAGCCGTGGCTAGAGAAGAGAGCACACAAGGAGGAGGTGAGGAATTCACCGCGTTGTCACACTACATGCATTGGATGACTACGTGAAATTGCGTAAGGACATAGGCGAAGAAACGGTGAACCGTGTCGGCAGTGTCCGATTTGTTGCGCAACGAAAACGTCCATGAGTAGTGTGAGTAGTCGTCAAGAATCACGAGGTAATACTGAAAACCAGAAAAGCTAGGAACTGGCGAGGTGCATAAATCAGTAGTGAACTAATTGGAAAGGAGCACTTGTTTTTTATACAGAATGAGGAAACGGCAGTCGCGGCTGCTTGCCTATTTTACATGATGCGCATACGGCAGTAGTAGGCAAGTCCTTATTACAGTTGGGAAGGAAATCACTAGCTAAGATGGAAACGGTTTTATTGCTGACATGGCCTAAATGAAGATGCCATAGGCCATTGCTGACGACGGAAAGCGCTGCTTGGACGCCGGAGTTGGAGAAGAAGGGATAGAGATCCCCGTGGCTATTGGACCTCATGATTGTTCTCCCCGTTGCTAGGTCCTTCACGGAAAAACCGAGGGGATCAAATTCAATAGAACAGAAATTATCTTGAGTAAAGCGAGGAACGAAAATTAAATTGCGGATAATAGCAGGTGAAACGAGCACGTCCTTAAGAAAAATTTGAGAGAGAGGTGGAGCCAACAGCAGTAACAGGGAGGTTGGACCAATGCCGACGAGAATACCAGAGGAATGACGCACAGAAGGGGAATGATACGAGGTGAGAGTGCTCGCCGTACCTGCGACGTGCGACGTGGCGCCCGTGTCGAGGATCCAGTCGGAGGCGCCGCCGGCCTGCTGGTGAACGGAGAGGTTCTGGAGCGCCGCGTATAGCTGGTTGTACTGCTCCCAGGTCGGCCCACCGGATGGAGTGGCCGCGGCCACGGGGTAGGCCTGATGCGCAGGCGGAGGACGAGGCCCTAGGACACCCGCGGCACTGGGCGCAGCCCGAGTGGCCCAAGGCGGAGGCAGCCCGGGGATGAGCGCGCCGTACGGGGCGAAGAAGCTGGCTGGTGGCGGCGCGACGGATGTTGAAGATAGAGTGCCACGCCCGGACGAGGACCCGCCAGAGGGCTGGGCACCGCGCCCACGTCCACGCGCAGGCCTGTCCCATTCAGCGGAGCCACGGTCACCAGCCGGCGCAGCAGTAGCGGGGCCTTTGCCCCGGTCAATGGAGCCGCAGTCGGAGGAGGAACTAGACCCCTGCCCAATGGTGAGGGCAGTGGCAGTGGCCTCGGGATGCCCGTCGAGGCGGGTGCGCTCGTTCGAGATCTCCTCCATGAGCAGGCGGGAGCGCGCCTACACAAAGGTAGGAAACGGCGACTGCATGGGAAGAAGAGTTGCCATGACCTGGAAGCGCCGGTTGATGCCGCGGATGAGCTGCAAGGTGAGCGACTGGTCGGTGACGCGTTCGCCCACGTCCTCGAGTGCGTCAGCGAGGGATTTGAGACGCCGACAGTACTCAGTGATGGAGAGGTCTCCCTGGACGAAGTTCCGGAACTCGGCGCCGAGGACGACAGCACGCCCCGACTGGTTGTCCATGAAGAGGACGTGGAGCTGCGTCCATATGTCATGGGCAGAGCTGTCGGGGGACGCCACGACATCCATGAGGTCCTCGGCGACGATGATTTGCATCCAAAGCACCATGGACAGGTCATCGTTGCGCCACACGGCGCTCTGGCCGAGCGGCTCGGTGGCGGCGTCAAGGTGGTGCTGAACCTCGTACTTGCATGCAATGATGTAGAACAGTTGACGCCAGCGGGAGTAGTTACCGGATTCAAGTTGGAGCTTGGTGGTGAAGTAATGCGCGATGGAGGGCGGGAGGCCGGCAGACGAGGAAGGGCCGGCGTCGGAGCCGCCGGGGCCGAGGTGGGGAACGATGGCCCTGCCCGGGCCGCCCAGTGCGAGGCGCGGGGCAGGGACGCTACCTGCGGTGCAGAGGATGCCCCCGATTGGTGTAGTGGCCGCAGCGTGGGGCGCCGAGGAGGAGGAGGAAGCGGCCGCAGCACCCTCGGGTACAAGCGCCTTGCCCAGATCGCCGAGGTGGGCGCGGCGGGACGGAGGTGCAGCCGGGGCGGGGGTGACCGCGGCGGCGGGCGCGTTGTTCGCGCCCTGGGAGGAGGCGACCGCGGCGGGTGCGGCGGCGATCGGAGCGGACGCCGGCGCGTCGAAGTCCGTCGAGCGGGTGCGGCGGAGGAGACGATGCATAGCGGAAGCTTTGGGGGAGAGGAAGATCGGAGGGACTCGGCGTCTGATGCCAAGTTGAGTTATGCAACACACACACTGCTTGTATTCATTTTTTCGAGGAGTACATATAAACAGATTACAATGAGAGAGAGAGAGTAGTGGATCGTGGGGTGCAACGGCAAGAGCCGATAGTGCCTAAACTATAGGGATAACTACGCACGTAGACGTAGAGCAGGTGGCTGTTGGAGAGCCTGAGGAATCGGTCGTGCGGTCAGCCACCTGAGACGAGAGGAGTGGCCGTATTCCAACAATTACAACACACCGCTTAGTTTCACTGCATCATTAAAAACGTATAATCACCGATCCCACACGTGTGAAAGAATTTAGTGTGTGCTGCATCGCATACGATTACATTTGGCAAGGCCTCTGCACCATGGATTCCTATCCCCGACGGTTTCTGGATCGTGTGGGAAGGGCCCCCTATCGCACACACTCACTTGGCGACGGTTCAAAACGCCGTCACGGAAAGGGGTTAAAAACGTTTGTATAGCACTTCATTGTACCAGTGTTTTTAATGCAAGTAATTGGAGAATTGATATGTGCCTTGATGTTTATTTTTGTTGAAGTTATAGCTGTGCGGTATAGACTTCCTCTTGCACAAACAATTGGTTTCAACAAGATCATACCGAACTTGGACAATCTGCAGGTTACCAATACAATAAACGAGGGAGGCCGATCATTACATCTTGCGTCTGCATGTTTTGGTGATTGCTATCAACCGGCGTGCAAATTCCCTTTTACACATGAATTAGCTAAGTTGGCTAAAGGCCCTTCTTGTAACAGTTTCCTTGATAAGTCTCCTCGGGAGCTCATCCCTCTCTTGCCAAATGATGTAACATTTGTCATAATGTTATAAACAGCCTCGTTCGAAAAAACACAAAGGGTGCCTGTATGGGCTGTATATTCAGGATAGTCTGGTGGAAGGAGGAATAAATTGTAAAACAATCAACTAACAAACTAACTCAACAAATCTCGCGTGGGTTTGATTAGTAGATCAGACGACCTTCATGCACCTTATCGGACGGCCTCCAGCTAGTCTGATAGATGCAAAGTATCTATAATCTGATGCCTAGAGTTGTCGGATGTGGCATGGACAGAGGATGCACATTGACGTCCTTCTAATTCATCCTATGTCAAAGGATCTCGTTCTGTATCATATGGGTTTCCATTTTGGTGTATTCCGACAGTGTAACTAATGCATTAACGTACGATTACATGCATTACAAATTGCCCGAAACCAATTCTGCTTACATAAATAGTGTCTACAGTGTTCGTTGGGCCATAGTTACTGTTGGGCCTCAGGCTCTTTCTTCTCTAGGTAACTGCAAAATCCAAGCCCAAACATCTATATTATCACTCTATTGTTGCATTAATTAAATGACATGTTAGCATTTGACAAGTACTCAACAAACAAGAAAATGATAACCATGTTTAATCTGGTGATTTTTTGTGTGGATATTGTGGTAATATAGTAGTAGTAATATGGCAATAAAAGTTCACATAAGAAGCCTTACCCTTGAGCCCTAGCATAGCGAGATAACTGGTAGAGCTGAACGCTTTCGTTGGAGGCATGGGTTGCCATAAGAAAATAGTTTCGGGGCCGTACGACCCATGCGAACCTCATAAATAGGCCAGAATACACACACATGACTGCACAACACAATAGTAGTCATTAAAGATAATTGAAGATGTATTGATCACCAAACTATATCTAGAATCTATGACTTGTCAGACAAATAACCTGCAGTCATATGGCCGGATATCAATTCAGGTGGCTTGTTCATGTCAGCCATACCCTGGAGATGAAATAGCAACCGAAGGATTATTGAGTTACAATGTTAAAGAATTTAATGAGATGCCAACTTGAAAAGTTTATTCATTTCAACTATTTCACTAACTTCCTATAAATAGATTAGGCTTCAAAATTCAACAATATTTTTGTAACGATAGTAATTAACAAATTAATGAATTATTCTTGTTAGTAATAGGCATACAACACTGATGCATATAAATCGACTGGAATTCATGGGTTCAAATAATATTTAAGAATATAATTAGGCCTCCTTTGGTTCCTAGGAATAGGAAAATCATAAAAAGTGAGATGGCGATACGATATGAATTTTTCCATTGAGCCTCAATTAATGTTTTTTTTTCTTTAAAGTGTGAAGGATTGCTTCCTATCCTATATAAGAATAGGAATCCATTCCTACAAATCAAAGGGCTCCGAACAAATTCTTTTTACAAAATTTATATCCTTTAGAATTCCTACAAAGTTTTTGTAAATCAAAGGAGGCCTTAAATCGTGAAATTGTTGTGAGTCGCTATGAGGTATTCGGTTGGCTACAGATGACACGATAACTTTATTCATTAGTCATGCTCTAATAGATTCGAGGAATGATAGGCTCACCAAAGAGAACATTATCATGCAAATAAAAAACTAAAACATCTGTCTTTTCTTGGTCTCCTTACCCGTTTCCACAACCTCTCTGCCACTCATTTGGGACGATTGGTGTTGTACTCCCTCCATCCCGAAATAAGTGTCTTGAGTTTAGTACAAATTTGTACTAGAGCTAATACAAAGTTAAGACACTTATTTTAGGAGCGGGGAGTATATGTTAATGTATTCTTAGATTCAGTCAAACATATAGAAGTTTGAGGTAAAGCTAGAACTACAATTAATTAGAAATGGAGAGTAAGAGAGAAATTCCCCGTATATAGATGATCATAAACTGTAACCGGTGCCAAACCATCACTAGGAATTCGCAGCACTCTAGTGGTTGCGATCAACCAACAGCACAGGTTAATTTGGGAAAGCTAGATAGATAAACCAGGTACACCTTTTCTTTAAAAAAAAAAGAGATAAACCAGGTACAGAGAGACAGAGAGAATCGTGGAGCGCGTACCGCGAGGATGAAGCCCCAGTTGCTGACGGGTCCCCAGAAGTGCGTGGTCTTGGGGCCGACGGGGCTGTTCAAGAACGCCTTGAACGCCGTCGCCATGGCGGAGAACCTCGCCCCCTATACGGTTGTTTGCCTGCCGTCCGCGGGTGCGGATGGACTCGTGGAGACGGCCAACGGCTGAGGAACGAGCGAGCGAGCCTCCGAGCTTGTGGGGGGTGAGTGGGGGCGGCGAAATAAGAAGATGATTTAACGGAGAGTGGGCACACTGTCCCACTCATGCACTTGGGCGCGCCGGTCCATCACATGATCCGGAAATGATGCGGCCATGCCCATGCGGGGGCACTGTACATGGAGCGGATATGCACTACACCATAAGCTGATTAGGCTCCGCGTTGGTAGCATGGGCGGCTAGCTCGAATACTTTGAGGCGAGCACGCTCTTGTTCCTACCACAAGAGCAGAGGCTAGTCCACGTTCTATTTTTTGTTATCTTCTTTCTCACGTTCGTTTCTCTGAAGCCTGCTCACTCGTTCACGCATTGGCAGACGGTTTGCTATCACGGCACGTATGTTCGTATAGCCGCCGGGTGGTTGGAGCATTTGAATTACTCACTCCATGTAACTGAGGCATATCAACCGAGGCTTACCGTAGCTGGGTTTGCTCTCCACAGTGACCTGTACGGCATAGTTAATTGCTTGTTAAGTATTTTTTTAACTGAAAGGGAGACCTACCCGACGACGGATGTGTCGAACAATGACTTGGTAATTGACATAAACAATGGATTCGTTGGAATAACCATAGCAGCCACTTGTGGGGGCCGGCATCGTGACGTCCGAGAATCTTGCCCTTTTTTTTGTTAGTCTGCGTTGAGGAAGGAGATGGTAGGATAAAGATCATGTATGGCCGTCGCGGCGGTGACCAGGACCAGGACGTCGACGGCGGCTGACGATGTGGTATACTCTGCCAACCGAGTACTGGCAAGCTGGGTCAGTTTTCTTTTTTTTTTTCATCTTGGGAAACATGTTGATTAATGTGTGTTTGGCCACCTTCCCACATCCACCCAAAGGGTAGGAGCATTTTCATTTTTATAATTCATTGTTTCTATATACAACTTATATGGATTGTTCACTTTGTCCTTTTCGGACAAGCACTACCTTTCGGATGCTGGCTACGTATATCCTAACAAAAAGGGATACCTCGCACCATACAAAGAAGAAAGATATCATATACAAGAAATTTGTTGTTCATGCATCAGATACATAGACTAGAGAGGTTCGTCGCAAAAAAAAAAGAGGTAGAGAGGTTAACAACGCTGACATGGATGAGACAGGGATGGGCTAGCAACAACCATTCTCTGATTTGGTGAAATGTGGTTCATTAATGTAATTGCCCTTTTGGTTTGCAAAGTTATGCAAAATATTTCGTTGGTCGTACAAAAAGTCCTATTCTGACCTTGAGCTCAAATACACCTTGATAAACAGTAAAAATGACAAAAAAGGTAAAAAATTATGAATATTTTTTGTGGTAAACTTTGACAAATATTTTGTATGCTTGTCAAATTTCAGCACGGGATGACATTCGGGGAAGTCGTGGCAAAGAAAACAAATTCACAATTTGTCAAAGTTTATTATCAAAAACCATTAATTAAGAAGTACTCTTTGCAAAGGTCACTCTCACCTCCCTATGTTGCGACAACTGGCACACTGCATGTGTGCCACTTGTTGCAACCTAGGAGTTTTTGTTTTTTCCCCTAAATTCATTTATTCAAAACAATTTATCTCTTAAACTGTGCATCTAAATCCCAAATTTTTTCACCGTTGAAATTCTCGCGTCGAGATCTTCAAAATTAGATCTCATGTCGATAGGTTTCGATCAACTTGCTTACATGAAGAAAAAAAAAGAACCAGAAGCACCTTTTTTCACATTTTTTTCCTTTTCTGGAGAAGCACACTTGCGCCTCTCGCGTAAGGAAATATGTGCTTCCACGAGAAGTAAAGTTGTGCCCCTTGGGTTACAAAAATGTATTTTTTTTCTTTTCTGAGAGGTATAGTTGTGCCTCTTACAGAAGCAAATTTGTGCCTCCACAAAATATGTGCCTCTCATGAAAAAATAATATTATTTTCCTTTTCCGAGAGGCACAAGTGTGTGCCTCTCACGGAAGTAAATCTGTGCCTCCACACGTAAAAAACTATGCCTCTTGCGGAAGCGAAAAAACATTTTTTTTCCTTTCTGAGAGGCATATTTGTGCCTCTCATAGAAGTAAATCTATGCCTCCACGAGAATTAAATCTATGCCTCTCGCGGAAGCAAAAGGAAAAAGTAAAAATTGTGCCTCTCGCACGAGCAAATCTATACCTCCACGAAAAGAAATTTGTGCCTCCTGCGAAGGGGAAAAAGAAAAAGTGTTTTTCACGCAAAAAACCTAGAGAAAACACGGGCAAAAAAGGAAAAAAAGAAGCATCTGAAACCCGAAAACTCATATAGAAAAATATAAAAATGAAATCTTGAGGGAGTGCCCAGCACGCGAGATGTGGCCATGGATGAGAGTGCGCCAAGTAGCCCTCAGCCCACCCAAAATGACCCTTGGAGGTGTCGTGCAACGAGTACTCCTCACCTAGTTGCTTCCCTGTAACCGGCGCAGCAGGCGCCAAATAGGAGTTGGGCCTATTTAGCACGTATCGAGTCCCATGGAGGGTGACCAATCTGGCATTTCCTATTTGGTGCTTCAGGCGCCCGTTAGTATGCATTTTCCAAACGGGCGCACACCGCCCTCCGCGCTCGTCGGGCCATCTACCTATTTTTTCAGTTTCTTAAAACACAAAAAAGCGGGCCGTGGTGAATGGAACCAGCAACCTCTCGCACCGAGCTATATTGTAGTAAGAGCATCTCTAGAAGACCATGTATAATGCCGACCCACAGAAGTTGTTTACAGTTCGCTGAAAAACGGATTCGCGACCCACAAAATGATCGTTTTGTGTGGAAAACTATGAAAGACCTAGCTATATACACACATACATAGAGGAACATCGATTGTTGCGCATGCACACGTGAGAGATAAAGAATGCCTGATATGATGGAGAGGGGGATGTGTGTGGGTGTGTGCCTTCATGGGAGACCGACCTGAAGAAAAAGATCGCATGTGTGCGATGGATAATGTCGACTGGTAGTGTGTGTGCATTCATGCACGAGAGAAAGTTAGTGGTACAATTATAAAGAGAAGACGACTGTGTGGGTGTAAAAGTTTCTGATTTTTAGCAGGATCAACACAACTATCACCGTAAGCTGTCCTAACGGTCTTACTTGGCACTTTATTGAAACAAAAGCTATAAAACATGATTACTACAGTAGCATAATCATGTGGACACACAAAAACAATGAAGGTAAATATTGGGTTGTCTCCCAACAAGCGCTTTTCTTTAATGCCTTTCTAGCTAGGCATGATGATGACAATGATGCTCACATAAAAGATAAGAATTGAAACATAACGGGAGCATCATGAAGCATATGACTAGCACATTTAAGTCTAACCCACTTCCTATGCATGGGGAATTTGTGAGCAAACAACTTATGAGAACAATAATCAACTAGCATGGGAAGGTAAAACAAGCATAGCTTCAAGATTTTCAACACATAGAGACGAAACTTGATATAAATGCAATTCCTACGAGCATATATTCCTCCCTCATAATAATTTTCAGTAGCATCATGAATGAATTCAACAATATAACCAACACCTAAAGCATTCTTTTCATGATCTACAAGCATATAATTTTTACTACTCTCCACATAAACAAAATTCTTCTCATTCGGAATAGTGGGAGTATCATAAGAGGCTTGAACACTAAAAATTGTTTCCACATTAAAAGAGTAATGTTCAGAAAAAGGGTAATCATAATCATGACAAGATTTGTAAATATAATCATCACTACTTTTTATAGCATAAGTTTCATCACAATAATCATCATAAGTAGTAACTTCGTTCTCATCATAATCGATTGAAACCTCTCCCAAGATAGTGGAATCACTAAATAAAGTTGACACTCTTCCAAATCCTCTTTCATATTCATCACAATAAGATTCAACATCCTCCAAAATAGTGGGATCACTACTTCCTAAAGTTGACACTCTTCCAAACCCACTTTCATCAATATAATCATCATAAGTAGGAGGCATGCTATCATCATAACAATTTTGCATATCAAAACTTGGGACGCTAAAAATATCATCTTCATTAAACATAGCATCCCCAAGCTTGTGACAAACATTAATTCCAGCAAATATATTCTCAAATATTTCATCCTCATCAAACATAGCTTCCCCAAGCTTGGGCCCTTTCATATCATAAGCATAATCACTCCATCATTAAAAATATTGATAGCACCAATAGTATAGCAATTATCATCATCACAATGAGTAGTAGGAGCAACATCATTTGGGAGGGATACCTTTCTACCTTTGTTGCTCCTTCTTTTCTTTTTCTTCTTCATATTATGTGTGGGTTCAACCTTCCTCTTTGAGCTCCTTATTGATGATATTGGTTGAATAGAAAGCTCCTTCTCGTTACCCGATTCATCATGAGAAATAATAGGAGGATATTGGGAAGTCTCTTCCCTTTCATTAGTATTTTCATCATCTTCTATTTGCTTTCTTTTCTTTAGGTAATTGGCAATATAAGGATTTTCAATGCAATTCTCCACACAAAACAAATAAATCTTTTCTAGATCAATATCAAGAAAATGCATAAGATTAAATTTTGGAATAGGCTTAGTTAAACATTTCAACTCTTCACAACCCAAAAGCAACCTAAGTTCATTGTAATGAGAAAGGGAGATCAAATCATCACAATTTTTGGACACGATTCGATCATGAAACAATTTGCATTGGAGATGTAAATGATCTTGTTTATTGCAAAATTCACAACGGGAAAGATATCTTAAATTCTTCGCACTCTTATCTAGCCTTTCTTGAAACTTCTTATTTCGAAATATTTATGCCTCTTGCAATATATATCTTCTCTATTCGGTGTGTTTATGCAAACATGCACTCCACAAAAGTTGACATGCTCATAAGATATATTTTCATCATGAATAGAGCAATCATC